GCGCCCCGTTTCTCGAGCGCAATCGACAGGGTGACATTCCCCGTTATAATAGCGATCGCACGATCGATCGTCAATTCGCTCATTACGTGGCTGGCGCAAATTTGCCCGACAAACGGAGTTATGTCCTCGAGTTCGGCAAGCAATATGTTCAATTACATGGGAATTACATTCACGGGGATGGGAGTCGCAGGTCGATGGGAAAATTACCGAAGCGCTTTGATTGTGTTTTGCGCGTGCAGGACGCCGGCAGCGCCTCGGCCGTCCAACTCGTCGAAAGATAAGAGACCGACGGACGGACGCGCGGCTGTAAGAAACTGGGAAACGGGACCGAGCGGGGGATGCTGGATTAAGCTAGGCGATAAGGGCGAAACGGCCGATACACTTGATCGGGATATTAAGGATGTATAGACCAATCTGTAAGCAATCCAACTTGTGCTCGCGAGGCAATATTGTATTTTTATGTCGCCGCTCCTCTATATCCTCCCCTCCGACCTTCCCCCACTCCATCGCCCGTTATAACGCCACGTGACTACGACTCGCCGTCTCATTTTCTCCTCCTTTTTCCCATACTCACCGAACTAATCGATCGTCCAGAGATAACAGCCGTCCGTGGACCCGATCGTGCCGAGAAATGTCGATCCGAATCTAATTTTCATTATGGCTTATTTCTTAACAGCGTGAGCCCGTCGAGATAAAAATGGACGAGAGTTGTCGCTTGGTAACTGTTATCATTGCAATGGCGCCGCTTGCTTTGCATTTTACGGCTAATCATCAAATAAAGTCAGCCGGCCAGGGATGTTAAAACGCAAAATCATCGGCTTAGTTTCGTCTGCCCGACGCTTGAGAAACCCTGATTGGTGCAAGTCGTTGGATAAGCTCGTGGGGTACAAAGGGTCAGGAGCTCGGACCGTAAATATAAAGTGAAGCGTAGCGCGGACATTTTTCATTTTCACCGGATCATAACAATCCCTTGCTACGGCGCACGAGCAATTTCTATTAACGAAGAATAATTTTGCCGGGAGACAAGATGAAGGATAACGGGGAACGAGCGGACGCCGATAGGCGCACGATCTCGAGCTCATCCGGGATTCCCCAGGATGATTAAAGGCGGTAGGGAGTGACGTAAAGGGCACGCGAATCGTGTCGCGTATCCTCTCCATCCACCCGACTCCTCGTACGCTTATTATTACGTTTCTCGTAAAAACATCTGCCCCCCGAAAAAACAAAAGCCCATTGTTGCTAACGACCGGTCGCGCGTCTCTTGTTTCTAACCGAGTGCTTTTGAGTCGTAGGCGAGCCACGTTATAACGGACCTCGAGCACCGCATTCATCGTTCTTCCTCCACCCCTCGTCCTTTCCCCCCGTCCCGTCTTGCAACTTTCGCATCTCGCGCCTCGCGTCCTATTCTTACTTAAATTTTTTTTCTCTTTTTTTTCATTCCTTTTTATTTTATTCTTTTTTTTTTTTTTTTTCATGTTCCTTGCAACAGCTCGCAGCCAGAACTGTAGCGACTCTTCCCGGGCTTTCGACGTTTTACCGCTATTTCTCATTCTCGTGATCCGCACCCGAACTTACAAGCATCATCCGCATTTGCGTGCGCACGCTTACATATACATTCAATGCATTTTCCGGCCAGCGCTGCTGTACCTCTTCTCCAAGCCTCTCTTGTAATTCCAAGTTTACTATCGCGCGGCTACGTTTCGAAAATCCCGCACGTTTATCAAATACACCACGTTCTCCTGAGAATTATTCCACTTTGAGGATAAAAATACGTTATCTATCTATGCGAATGGTGCAGTTCGCCTATCAATTGGAATTTCCTTAAATACTCCTTATGTGTCTTATGTAGAAATGTATTTGGACATTTTGTCGATGAGATATACATGATAGTCAAGAGTTTTTTATCCCTGGATATTGACTTGTTAGACGGGTCAAATCGTCATCGCGAGACCAAATCCATTGTATCGCAATATCAACAATAGCTAATTAGGATAAAAACTTTCAACCGCCATCCCCCTTGACCATTTTCTCTTGCGTGTTCCGCCAACCATCGATAATATGGTCGGAATAATGTGTTTAATTTAACTCTTCTCACTCGTTCGTTAACTCACACACACACACGCACGCACGCACACGCACACGCACACGCACACACAGACACGCACACAGAGACACGCACACAGAGACACACACAGACAGAGACACACACACACACACACACACCCCTCTTCATATAACTTTTGCCTCGCAACGTAACTTCATCTCGCTCGATATTTGAATTTCTACGGGGCAAAAGTGTTTCTCGGCTCGATCCCTCGCATTCAAACGAATACGTCCGGCGTCCCGACTTTTAAGGACGAGACGAAGGGTCGGAGGCCCTACCCCGCCCTCATTCTTCTTCGCGCCCGACACTCGCAACTGGACCATGGGGCGAGGACTTCCCGCCCTTTAACCCCGCGAGGGCTTCCATCCACCCTTTGAAGATCCGCGGATCCCGCGGCGTAGAGCCGTGAAAGGTGTGGCCTCGTGGTGTGGCCGAGCCGATGGCCAATGGTCAAGGATAGCCGAAGGTGCGCTCCGCCCTTATCGCGGCCCGTCTCTTCGCGTTGGTATTCGCTCGACGTGTGGAGGGAGCGATGGGGCGCGATACCGATGAGCGTGGAGACGAGACGCTAATGAATTTGTTGGGGAAGCGAGAGAGGATTGGGGTCGGCGATTGGCAGGTAAACATTCCGGGAATGTCGTTTGGTGAGGCAAAGTTTTATTCGCCTCGGGACTTGGGCGCGGGCAAAGCCAATAAGAAGCCATCTGCGCAGAATTCGAGGCTCGGCGGTGTGTAACATCTGGAAAGTGGCATAATCGAAAAATCGAGCCTGTTAAGCCCGCGAACCTTTACACTGGAAATCTATCTGGATCGAATGGCCAAACTAATGAAATTCTACGGCGTTGGAATATCGATGTACTAAATGCACATTATTGCTTAATCAATAATCGCCAAGTCGAGGCCAATGATCCATCGGATTATGTGAAGCGCGTGTAGAGAGTCACGTTGATTATGCTCTGAGGGCGATTTGGAGCCTTTGAGAGAAGGAACGAGCGCGAGGGGTCGGTCAGACATAATAGTGCTCGGGTGCAGAGTGACGCGTCATCGAAAACACAAGCGAGAGATGTATTATGCGAAATAATGAAACGAATGGGTGGATGTGAGGAAGAGGAAAGTGTGGTAGAACGTTGCTGAAAGGTTGGGAGGGAGGGAAGGAATGAGGGAATGAGAGCGAATGAGCGAATGAGTGAATGAGTGAATGAGGTAAGTACGAAAGGAAGGAAGGTCGAAAGGAAGGAAGGACGAAAGGAAGGAAGTAAGGAAGGTAGGAAGGAAGGAAGGATGAAAGGAAGGATGAAAGGAAGGATGAAAGGAAGGATGAAAGGAAGGATGAAAGGAAGGATGAAAGGATGGTTGAAAGTAAGGATGAAAGGAAGAAAGAAATGGAATAAGGACGAAATCAAAGAGCGGAGATAGGAAGGAAGTATAGGAGGGTATGGGAGGTGGAAGGAAGTAAGAAGATCTGAGTAGATAGATAGATAGAGAGGGAGTGAGAGAGAGAGAGAGAGAGAGAGAGTGATGAAAGAGAGAGAGAGAGAGAGAGAGAGAGAGTGATGAGATAGTGAGAATGCGAGTGATTAGGGAGGGATGACGGGTGGAGTGAGATGAAAGGGTCGGTGTGGATGGAGCGAGGGAGGTAAGAGGTGGCGAGGAGAATGTAAAAGGGGGAGTGTGTGGGATAAAAGAAAATGGAAGGCTCAAAGATGACTCTAGATGCGAGAGCCAACAGACGCGTCTGGCTTCTTGTTTTCACGGACTCCTGGCAGCAGCCCATCAGAACGGATATGGTACTTGAATTCGTTTCAGGAAAAAGATCAATATATGAACTCCTGCCAATCTCTATGTTAATCCCCCACCCCGTGGCTTGCGCACGTGCGCGTACGTGTGGACTTGGGTGCGCGCGCCTCTGTATCGGTTTTCTCATTCTTTCTCTTTGCTCTTTACTCTATTGCTCTTTGCTCTATTGCTCTTTGCTCACTGCTCTCTGCTAACTGCTCTCTGCTCTCTGCTCTCTCTCTCTCTCTCTCTCCCTCTCTCTCTCTCTCTCTCTCTCTCTCTATTTCTCTATTTGTCTGTCACGCGAACGAGGGAGGTTGTTTAGTGTGCGGCGCGGATAGTAGCCATGCCAGAGAGAGAGAGAGAGAGAGAGAGAGAGAGAGAGAGAGAGAGAGAGACGCTCCTGAAGAAGCCCTAAAAATGAATTGTTACATCTGCGGCTGACCTCCCGACCTATCCGCCGTGGTACCAGCCTGAATTATAATTCCAGAGCGGTCTTTTGCCACGACCTCTAATAGCCTCCCTTCGAGAGTTCAAGAGCGCTATTAAATTCCCCGGCATATAAATTTGCTCCTATTCTTCGCTCTTGTAACTATTTTCTCCCGCCCAGCTCCTTTAGCATCCGAGCCGCTGGAGATTCAAACTAATGATCGTAGGAGCGTTGCCGCCACGCTTATCCTCTCGATCCCATCGTATCCACTCGACATTCTCGCCTTTGCGCCTATTTACGATTAGAAGAGTGCCGATGCTTTTTGACACGGCCACCTCTCGTTTGAAACAATGTGTACAGTTATAAGGATGACGAGATTGAGCGTCGTAAGAGGCCGTGGAATGTGTTGCGCGCAATTCCCATACGTGGTGTTTATATATATATATATATATATATATATATATATATTTTTTTTTTTTCTTTTTTTTTTTTTTTTTTTTTTTAATAGCGATTGGAAGCGCGTGAGGCGATTACGAATTCGATCGCTGATTTTTAATTGCTCGCGCGCGGCCTATCTCTGCTATCGCGATATCCGAACGACCGGGCACAAGACGAGGAAGCGAGATTTAATCAAAGATTACGTCTCTACATTCTCTCAAGTGACACGAATCTCCGTTTCTTCTCTTTCAGCGGAAACATCGCAGAACGCGACGCCGCCCGACATCGTCGTTTGCGGCGGCTGCAGGGCCTCCTATCCCCTCGGGGACATCGTGCGGTTCATCGAGCACAAGGTGAACCACTGCCGGAGCAGCCTGCAAGGCTGCCAGAGCCCATCGCCAACGGCCGCTCCCGAGGACTCCGACCCGGAGGACGCGCTAGCGCTCAAGGCCGCGGCCGAGAGCGAGAAGCTTAACTCGGTGCCGAGCATATCGGCCCCCATTACCAAGAGGACGGGCCGCGTCGAGAGCCCGCCCACGCCCCAGGGTACCTCAGCCGCCGATGCAGTGAGCCCGATCGAGCTCAGGGCGAGCGCGAGCTCGACGCCCAAAAGGCGGACGACCGAGGGCCCCGAGGATCCTCTCGACAAAGAGGAAGCACCCAAGAAGGCCAAGACCGAGTCCGTCGACGCCGACACCAATACCGTTAGCACAGGTGAGCTTGGTCGATAATCCACCGCCACCATTACGAATATCATTGTTATCGCGTACCCGCCGCCACCCCCTCGCCTAGCACCAAAATTCGCGGATGGCGATCGTTGCGCGCACTACATTGTCCCGGATGCTACGCTCCCGTGTGCATTCCAGCCACGTGCCATCGAGCATATATATATATATATATATATATATATATATATACATATACACGCACATATAGAGTCTCGTGTCCCTCGTATGTAACGGGCGGTGCTTAACGGTTTTAAAATCGATTATCCTTTAGTTTGCATCTCCCAATCGCCAATCATTTGCTAACCCCGCGCGTTTCGTTTGTCATTGCTTGTCAGCGAGAACACAAATGCCTTTATTAAAAATTTTAATTGCTTCGACAACTTTATTAGATTTAATAAGTTTAATAGGTGGAGGCGCGTTGAAGGAGCGTCTTTGATTTCGGGGACGGGAGCCTTTGCACTCGCGAGGCTATTTATTCCCGCCTCGATAATACTCGCACATCGCCGTAATGCCGATGGATGATTAAACGAACGTAAAATTTGCACGCCAGACTGAACGTCTCGCCCCACTATCTCAGCCGCGAGAATGACATTTTCTTCGAATCAGACAGTCGAGAATTGAATAGCGCCATAATTTCCCTTCTACCTTCCACTCCCTCCTAATTTTATACTCGTAATAAACAGTTTTTCCATAAAATGTATCGACGAGCCACGTCTCGTCGCCAAATGCGTATTAGATTTATCATTGCGGTAATGATGTAATAGGCTCGTCGCCGGTGAAACCCTCCTTTCAAAATGATTTTATCTCCCCGCCTCGAATCGCTATAAGCACTCGGCAGCTCGCAGCAGCGAACGAAAACTAAATTAGCATATCCGCCGAGGAACGGGTAAATAAAATTGATCGCGATTAGAGGGAAAACCGAGGTTGAAAAAAAAAAAAAAAAAAAAAATCGCTCCTCAGTAGAAACCTATCAATAGGGATCTCGCCGAATTTCTCTCACGGATCTAGTCGACATTCGGCAGTAGGAACGGCGAAATCCAGCAGCGCTATTTCAGCGATGAATCGGGTGCAAAGAAAATTACACGGCGACTGCCCGTCGCCATCGGCCAATCCACTTACTCGCCATGGCGACGTTTAGATTTCGCGCACTGACTGGGTGCCGCACCTTTCACCGCAGGATTAACAAAACTCGCGGCCCCATAGATTATGCATCGATGCCGGCGTACTTTAATTGCCCCTAACTCGCCCCCTTCGCCGTGTGCGCGTCGGTCGACTCCCTACCTTGGCCACGTGGATCCGAAGCCAGCAGCGTCGCCTCCCGCTGGATCTCCATGGTGTCGTTAAGACGATGGAGAGCCACTTTCACGTTCCGCGCAAACCGTGAAAAATGGGCGATGCCGCCGCCGGGATGGACAGCCGGGGTAGGCAATTTCATATCGTTATCGGACAATCGTAGCGCATCTCGACCCTTCAGCCTCACGCACGACGAGTGTCAGCCAGGATTTATTCCGACGTAACCTGAAAACCACCGCGGTCCAAGTAGTAGCCGCTGGAGGGCATCAAGCTGATCCTCTTCCACCCTTGACCAGCTCATAACGATCGCTGCCCCATTCAATGTCAAACTTATGCGTTTGGCATCTCTCTTCCGCGAGATTTTAACATCGGCTTAATTAAGTAGCGGCGAGCATTTTGGCGCTTTTACGACCTCGGTCGCGAAACTGTGTGAGCTCCCTCGAGATCCTTAGACGCGTGTGTCTGTGTCGTCGGTGAAAGCGCAACGTTTAGCGATAAACGCTCTTTACCGAGTCTACTTTCGTTCGAACGTTGCCCCTCTTATGTTAGAGCGCTAAGGTCTCTCCCCTCCTCCCTTACAATTACCTCTCGTGTCCTCATCGGCTTCTGGGATTATTATGAGGGCACCTAGAGCTTCCGTAGCCGCAAGCTAGCTTTTGAAATAATTTGCAATTTATCGTGAACGTTGACGCGATCGTTGAGCAAGCATCCGAGCTTGTCGCAATAAACGAACTTTACATCAACGAGCGCATAGATTTGGATTTTCAAAAAACTTTCCCCTCTTCCCCGAAGCGTAACCTCTCGTCTCCCCATGATTATCATAGTGACTGTTACGCTAAAAATCGTTTTAAAGAAAAAGTGCCGATGGTTTTATATTACGATGTTAAATGTGGTAGTTTGCTCTTCTCCTACTCGCCGAGAGCTCGAATTTCCAGAGTCAGAATACCGATGATATACGTGTGCCCGTGCGTGCGTGCGTGCGTGCGTGCGTTTGTGCATTTGCGTCATTCTCCATTCTTATTCGTGTCATTTTGATTCTCGACTGCACGTACGTGCACAATTGTTTACGACAGTACAATATTGCGATACGTTGGTCATCATAACAAACGGTCTTTCACATTTTCTCGCAAAATTGTCTCAAAGCAGAAAATCCACATTAAAAGCACAACGAAAATCAACGCCCCGTAGCGTCGAACTCGTTATTATTCGGAAAAGTCAGCCACGCTAGCTCGATCAATTAATGTAAACGCACGCGATGGAATTATCCATGCGCAGACAACTCGCGACGATCATCTCTGACTTTGCTTTGTAAAAAGCGGCAGCGAGAAGTTCCGTAATGAAATTTCGCAAGGATAAAAATGTATATCTTTGCAGGAGACGAGGACACCCATCAGACCCGAACTAGAGCGAGAGACCTTAACAACGCGAAAAGCGATAAATTTTCGAGCGATCCAGAGAGAGAGAGAGAGAGAGAGAGAGAGAGAGAGAGAGAGAGAGCCAAATAGCGAAAAGTTCGTGCTATTAAATCAGCGGGTGTCCGCGTGGACACGACCAGTGCGTCACCGACGAGGACAGATCGTCGTGGCGAGGTCGAGTGGCAGTAGTGCGGGATGGCACGGGGTGGCGGATGGCGGGTGGCGGGTGGCGTGTAAGGGACGCAGGGCAGGGGACGGCGGGACGAGAAAAGTTTAAAACACCGTTACCCGATCCCAGGGATAAGAGGGCGAGCGAGAATCCGGGGTCCATGGGCTGCGTCCAAGCGGTGATCTGGTTCGACGGACCCGAACAATCCCCCCGTTCCTCCGCCGTTCCCCCGCCACCGCCCCCCCCCTCCCGCGACGGCTCGAGGGGCGCAGAATTCGATTTTTGAATTTAAAGCGCGCGCCCGCTGGGGTGTGCATCGCCCGGCTCCTCATTGTCCGACGAGCAATTGTCATTGTCGAACGCTCGCACGAGTGCCGCGCGGGTGTCGCCACGCCAATTTTTTATTATCATGGGGATTCGAACACTCGGAGCGCTGAATCACCGGAGCCACGGCTATGCGACCGTTGCTGGCGAGTCGTGGACATCGCCTTCAGCTGGCACTCGGTGCTTTTTTAACCACTTTAATCCCTGGATTGGACGATCGGCGTGCGCTGCCCCTGCCTTATGGCCCTTTGCACGTTTCTTTTTGTCTTTCTTTTTTCCTTTCTCTCTCTCTCTCTCTCTCTCTCTCTCTCTCTCTCTCTCTCTCTCTCTCTCTCTTACTTTTCTCTTTATTTATCACCGGGCGAATAGTGTGAGGAACAAGGGAACGGGCACGTTGACACGGCTCCGCTACCGATGACGAACGCGCACGAATGAAAATGCATTAGTGCCGGCTAAAGAAGCCGCTGCTTCGTTTCGTTCGCAGGAGCCGTCTCGCCCCTACGCGGACCATCCGATTATTTCCAAGGTCGTCTATACAGGTTGTCACCACATTAACGGCGATACGCCGCCCTCCTAGTACTGGCCCCTCCTAGGCAACCTTTGCAACGAGCGTTAACAATTAGTAGAGAACGTTTTAACGATCCACTGCCGCGAGTCGACTCGGCCTCCTTATGTCGACGCCAGAGGCCATGGGGCGGGAAACAGGCCGGACAAGCCGATTCGAGATGATCGGACGATGAGGACTACGAGCGGTATTTGTCGATAACAACAACAACAACGACGACGACGACATCGCTCGTAACGGCGACATTAAGAGCCACGATAATGACGGAAGACGATGACGATGACCATGAGTTGTAATTTCGAAGTGACCAATACAATGGTCGTTGGAAACGCGCACGAAGTCAGAGGTAATAATAATAATAATAATAATAATAATAATAATAATAATAATAATAATAATAATAATAATAATAATAATAATAATAATAATAAGTAAGTTTGTAGTGCGCGAGGTTAAGCGAGTATGTAGGCAAGCGGTACGCGGCTACTTAAAACTTTAATCGTCATCGCAGATGCACGCGCCACCGGATTCAACCCTTCGTCGGGCACGCAACCCCGCTCGGTCCTGCTCATCTTTGGCTAGTCCCCCTTCCCCCCCCCCCCCCTACTACCATCGCCGACCCATCCTTCTTGCTGGGCTTTTTGTCCGGCTTTTTTGCATCGCGCGAGCGGCGAGCCCAATTAGAAGCATTCCATTGTTTGGCCACGTGGTTGACACGAGCCGGTGATGCGCTGCTCTCGAGGTGACGCGCGTGCGCCCAGGTACGGACGCGTGCGCCTCCTCGCTCCTATTCCAACTTGCCAGGGGCCCTTTGTTTTCCTTTTTCCCTCCTCTCTCCTTGTCGTCGTCATCGTCTCTCTCTCTCTCTCTCTCTCTCTCTCTCTCTCTCTCTTGTTTTCTGTTTTTTTTCTTCGTTTTTTTTGTTTTATCTTTTCTTCCCTTCTTTTTCTCTCTTCTTTTTTCGATCTGTCGAGCGACCCGGCGCCTCTTCTGATCTCCTCCTTCATTTTTTTGTTTCCTCCTTTTTTCACCCGGCCATCCCTATAATGAAGTTAACGAAGGTGCTAAACGCCGATGGTGGGCGCGCGAGGGACGGCGATTTTCTTCGCGGACCCGTGTAAGGCGAGCCTGGCAGCGACTTAATTGTATTCTCGAGCCGTGAATCGCAGGAAAAGCGCTGCCTCGAAATCCATTATCCCACAACGCCAAAGGAAATATTA